GCCGACAGCTCTGTCTGGTCCGCAAACTACGTTTCACAACAATACACACGTGAGAAGTGATAAGGAAATAATGCGAGAACCCGCGTGCGTCAGACCGGAGTTCTCGAGCGAGACTGGAATTATAAAATATATATATATAGCCTGCAAACTGTCTGTGAGCTGATTTCCAGCTACAAGGAGAAAAAGAAAAACAGATTATGCAGGAGGGAGATGCAGGGAACAGGGATTGGGTGTTCGGCAAAGAGAGGTAAATAATTTTGCAGTTATGCTGATGTTGTGGCTGGTCAAGCAAATGTTTGTGCTTGTTTCTGTATGATATAATTGTTAATATATCTATTAAAATACTGATATTCTGGTCTATAACTCCTCCCCGTACTTCCCTCTGCCCTGTATCTTGGTCTCTCATTGGCTGTAGGTAATCGCCGATGTAGTTTTCAGTCAGAAATCATTGCACACAGCGTGATTGTGAATCGCCAACAGCTCCAGATATTTAGCATGCCCAATATTTTGCGGGCGTCGGCGACAGATCGCGTCTTTGATAATTCACACTGCGTGATTGTCACTTGCGTGAACGAGCACCGATTTGCCTCAGATTTTGGGCATTTGTCTGCGATTTCGCAAAACCTGTCGGCGAGTGAAAAATCTGACTAAAATCGTGCAGTGTGAACTCCGCATTACTTGGCAGTATGTTTCGGGTCATTGTAATCCTTGAAGACTTATCCATGACCCATCGTCAGTGTTCTGGCTGAGGGAAGGAGGTTCTCGTCCAAGATTTTACAGTACATGGCCCCGTCCATTTGCCCCTCAATGTGGTGAAGTCGTCCTGTACCCTTAGCAGAAAAACAGCCCCAAAGCATAATGTTTCCACCTCCGTGCTTGACTGTAGGGATGTGTTCTTGTGGTCATAGTCAGCATTTCTCTCCCTCCAAACATGTTGAGTAAAGTTAATGCCAAAGAACTCAATTTTGGTCTCATCTGACCACAGCACTTTCTCCCAAGCCTTCTCTGAATCATTTAGATATTCTTTGGCAAACTTTAAACGGGCCAGTACATGTGCCTTCTTGAGCAGGGGGACCTTGCGGGTGCTGCAGGATTTCAGTCCATTGCAGCATAGTGTGTTACCAATGGTTTGCTTGGTGACTATGGTCATAACTGCCTTAAGATCATTAACAAGCTCCTCCCGTGTAGTTCTGGGCTGATCCCTCACCTTTCTCATGATCATCCTTACCCCATGAGGCGAGATCTTGCACGGAGCTCCAGACCGAGGCAGATTGATGGTTGTTTTGTATTTCTTCCATTTCCGAATAATCGCACCAGCAGTTGTTTCCTTCTCAACAAGCTTCTTGCTGATGGTCTTGCAACCCATTCAAGCCTTGTGCAGATCTACAGTCTTGTCTCTGTCATCCTTTGACAGCTCTTTGGTCTTGCCCATGGTGGTGGGAGAGGTTTGAATGGAAGATACAGATTGTGTGGACAGGTGTCTTTTATACACCTAATGAGCTGACATTAGGAGTAACTTCTTAAAGTGGCAGGACTAATCTGTGTTCCACTTGGGCACATAACCAGTCTGTGGGAGCCAGAATTCTTGCTGGTTGGTAGGGGATCAAATACTTATTTCACTCACTGAAATGCAAATCAATCTCTAACCTTTATATAATGCGTTTTTTCTGGATTTTTTTGGTTGGTATTCTGTCTCTATCCGTTAAAATAAACCTACCATAAAAATTACAGACCCTTCATTTCTTTGCAAGTGGGCAAACTTACAAAATCGGCAGGGGATCAAATAAATATTTTCCCCACTGTAAGTATTACAGTCATTAACTTGCATGCATAGGAAACAAAACAACATGTCATACAGAATCTAATGGCTCTCGTTTTGTTTTACTAGGAGACCAAGCCCTCAAGTGATGGAGGTGAGAAGAAAGATGGAGAATATATTAAACTGAAAGTGATCGGTCAGGTAATTAGAGGTGTTTTCTAGTTCACCGTTGAAATTCAGGTTATCCGATCACAATTTGGTCATTCTGGCAAAATGTGTGATTTAATTCCCTTTTGCAGGACAACAGTGAAATTCACTTCAAAGTGAAGATGACGACACATTTAAAGAAGCTGAAGGAGTCCTACAGTCAGAGACAGGTGAGTCATCACTAGCACATATTTGCTCAGATTTAAATCAGACTGTACTTATTTGTTTGGTGTGCAGCATTGTGTAAGTGCACGTTATAAATTTGAGAATATCAGTGCATGTGAGAGACTACTATATACTGAATATGGAGTAATATAATGCAATATGGATGAATACTTTATGGGTGAGGACTCGAAAAGAGTGATAATGATGGTAATGTATGTTTTCCTCAAATTTATAGTATAGCCAACATTATTATACTGAATAGCATGTCATGCTGCTATTTTGAAAATACAATTTTCTGAACGAATGTAATCCATGACAATATTATTTTGTAACATCATTTGAATTAAAAATATTAAAAACGTATGCTGTCAGTGAAAGTGTAAAAGCATATAAAATATAATCTTGCATTTTAGCATTGCAGTTTTAATAAAAAGCTGCATATTTAACTTGTATGGTTTTGGAGTTAGTTGATTTGCATGATCTACAGTACCTAGCTACAATATTGCAGCAATTATTTGGCAACAGAATAGCATACATAGTTAGAATGAAACATGCGTATTAACAGTTGGAATTAAAACCATTTATCAGATGTTCAATATAGTCTAAAAAAATCTACGAAGTCTGAAAATATGATTTCGGAAAAGTATGAAATTTTGAAATGTAAAAATGTACTGTAGGAATTCTGAGCACTGCAGTAGACATGAAAATATGCTGCAGCTAAATGGTTATTTTTGCTGACATTTAAATATTATAAACTGGTTATTGATTTTCGGTCTTTTGACATTGTTTGTTTTTGTATTTTATGCAGGGTGTACCCATGAACTCTCTACGGTTTCTTTTTGAGGGACAGAGAATTGCAGACAACCAGACCCCCAAAGAGGTACAGTACACACTTCCATGAGTAAAACTGCAACAAGAGAACAAAAATTCCCTTTTGTTTTTGATGTCAAAGCCATGCATCCAATCAAACTCTGTGGTATTTTGGCTTAAATCATAGATAGAAGCTAGCCAAATTATGCAGATGCCAACATGGACAGGTGTGTGACATGCACCATCCACCATGTACAAAACTATGTGATATGAAAAAAAACATTTTTTTTAAGGATTTTGGTCCCGTTCTGCAATGTTGTGTTGTGCCCTGAGCTGATTGAGAACGGTCTGTTTATCTGTTCAGTACTTGTAACCTAACCTTTAGATTATGCTGTTAAATTCAATCAACAAATCAAGACCTTTGGTGTTCTTGCATTATTGCATTTATAAGTCATTAAGACGTTGTTCGTTTAGTTGGCCATCATTACGTGTTCTGTCAATCCTTAGCTTTCGTTAGACACTTTTTACACATTTAGTTGTTTTTGTCTCATTTTATGCTAGTGAACACACCTGCCATAATGTAATAGAAACCCTTTGAGTATTTTACATTCTGGGATGCTTATTTATATGCAGTTGTTGACTGATATTAGAAAAGTATCAAATGTTTCTTCATTCTTCTTGCATGTGTCTGCAACAACTGTGTACAGTTGTACGGTATATAGGCAGACTATGAATTGCAAGAGGAAGGTCATTGTATTGTGTTTTTGTCTAATGTATTAGAATCTGTACCCCTGTCTGAATCTGTGTTGTCACCTTCTCATCTACCTGGTCTTGGATATTTGGCTCCCTTTAAGCCACAATAATGGATTTCAAAACCTGAAAATAATGGGTAACTATGTTGTTTGATTAGCACTCAGGGGCGCATAATTTACATACACAGAATAAATACAGCAACAGTGTCACTGTACTCATGTTCCTTTTCTTACACTTTTTTTATATTTTTTTCATTTTCTGCGAGAGGGCAGGAAAGTTTGGTCCAGATGGTTTTGTGGATATAGAAGAATTATGACTTTGCTTTTGTCTTGTTTTTTTAAATAAAATGTGTCATAAAACAGTTTGTGGTAACTTGTGTTTTTTCAAATCTAATAGGAAATAGTTTCTTATAGGGAATATTCCATTTATGAACACTAGATGACAGTACAACACCTTTGCAGCAAGTATTAGATAACTGATAAAAAAAAAATACATGGAAATCCTTGTTTTAATCTTAACTTTATTTACCAAAAAAAACTAATTTTAAAATAATAAATATCAGTTACAGCATATGACAGTAAACAAATAAGATATAAAATGCAATATGTCATATAAATTCTCTTTCCCCGCTTGTGTAATTTTAAAATCAGACCAAGACCAATTTAAGGATGGTATCTGAACAAAGTTATATATAAAATAATAATAATAAAAAACATTTAAAACAAAATAATTAGTATAAAAAGTGCTATATAACTAAATGTATTAACACTTCCCCTTAGGAAAAATAATATGTACACAAATATACAATTAAATTTTGTCATATTAAATAAAATAAAATATATATAATTAAATTATTTACAATTAAATAAAAAATCTGTGACGTTACAAAGTAAAGATAAGCTTTTTGTCTCCCAACGTCATGGTACACACACACAAAAAAGAATAGTAATATTAATATTAATCAAAATAGGATATATTTTTTTGCTTATATAATTATTACGTGTGTGACTATATTGTGACTGTATGTGGTTGACGATTCTGATTTGATCAAAGGAGGAAGAATTTGAGAACCAATGCTTTAATGCAATGTCTTTCTCTAAAGCAATTACTTTGAGGATCTCAGTGTTATTATGGGATTGATCCAGTTTGGCTGACGTCGTCATGTATGGATGCATGAAAAACTGTCTGGAACTACTTAACATTGTGATCATTCTAGTGTTAATTCTACATAACGGATTGAAATTCCTAGTGTGGTGGGAGAGAGGACCTTACTGTGCTGTACAGAAAAACGGTTTATTTTAAGTGCTGATATTAAAGCAGGAGGAAAAGAAGTGCGTTTTGTGTGTGTGTGTTGAAACGGAGGGGTCTGGGAGTGAAACACGGTGTTAGAAAAACAGCAATGGGTGGATAAAGTGATGAGAGAGAGATGAGATGAGATACAAAAGCGAGAGGGATGGAATGAGGTTCTTGGAAAGTAAGGGAACACTTATAAATAATGTTCATGTGGTGCTACATGAGCCATACAAATGCCTTAGGGATCTTTATAAAACAAGGTTGTGTTTTCCCCTTTGAGATTAAGTGTTTTTTTTAAAGTTTCACCTTCAGATCAAAGAGTTTCCATGCATCATTGTTACCTTAGACTTCGACTTTTTGACTTTGTGTAGTCAAAAACTGTGTAAAACGTATCACACCAATGCATTGCATCCTATTAGTGTTCAAACATAATGCATAGAATTCACATGAATAATGTGTGTGCACAAAGTGTTGCTGTGGGGGCCTCCGCTATAGCCGAACCCCAAACGGGATGATCCAATTTCTGTGCCTGGGATACAGCACCTCCGAAACCCTAAACATTACCAGATGAGGCCTCGCAAAAAAATGGAGGAGGGCTGGCGTGTGTTTATTCAGGGGGGAAGGGTGCAGATCACCTATGAGCTCACATTTTCATTAAGCTTAGCTTGCATTAGAAGGATGGATATGTCTGTGTTGCATATGTACATTTTAAAAGGATCATATAACCAGGAACATTTTCTCGGTCTGTTTGAGTAAAAGAGTTGTACTATGAAAGCATGGTGTAACTTTTAGATCTCCTCTATACAGCCTATGATCTCCTCCCTAGTTCATAAAGACCATACATTCAGCTAATCTGCAAAAACAGCTCGTTCTATATCTCTGGAAGTCAGACAGATGAGTATAGTCATGCACAATTACATGCAATACCTATTTGGGGTTCAGAAACTTGGTCCAGAAGGTTACATAATAATGTTCACAAACTAATAATTAAAGCAAATTGTGTGAAAGTGTACCAAACTTAGTGCTAGAAGCTGCATTAGGAAATAGCTTATGGTTATTTTAACAAGGCCTCTGCTGTGATCATTTCATGTACATTCATTCATTCAGCAGATGTTTGATCCAAAGTGACTTACAAATGACAAACCGTTTGTGTGGTACATTTTATAGTGAATTGTGAAACTGTCACGAGACATTATAGATTTTAAGATGAAATAAAAGCAGAGAGCAGCACTGAGTCAAAACAGAAAACGTGAAGGGTCACAGAGGATGACCAACACTATAATTGGACCTCAGGCGACTAAATAAAATGATAAACTTATGAGCCCTTTAAGGGTGCAGATAACAGACCTGATACACGGAGAGAAAAAGTGTAGCAATATTTCTGGCACAAATACTCACTGATCTGTACTGTGGGAAACTGAACTGAACTTGGGGAAATATTATGTATCAAGAAGGAATGTTTCCCTGGGCAGCCCCACCGTCAACTTCCTTTTCATATTTCTATCGAGGAGAGAGCACAGAATAGACATCAGATACCTAAACCATCAAGGTGATCTGCTGAGACAGCTCTTTACACAGGTAAACAATGTTAACACCTTGAAAAACATAGGTTATAGCTTTGTTTGTGGCCTGAGAATCGATACAAATTCAGGTAATTGTATCTCAAGGGATTGAAAGACTGTTCCTATAAAGGGTGTGCAGTTACCTGGGAAAACATGTTTCTTTCAGGAGGTGGAAGGCACCTGGGACACACAATAGGTAACAGATTTCCACAAAAATGTACTCAAATGCTCATCACAGATGTAGCTGTTAACCCATAGGCTTGGCTGTGGGTGACCATAAATTGTCAAGGTGTGGCCATATTCAGAGGACCTGTGGGCTCTTTTGTTAACTGGTGTGCTATGTAAACAGAGCTTGGTTTAGCATCTTGTATAATATTAATTCAGACATGCTTCTTGTGTCGAATTGCACACTTTTGTTAAGAGAAAACCTGTGCAAATACATCCGAATTTTCCCTTAGATTGACTTTTGCACTGATACGTGGGTGATTCTCAGGAGGCGGTGGTATTTGTGGCTTCACTGTTACTGTTGAACTTTCAATAAATCATTTTGTTTTTCACTTTGGGGCCAAAGTATCATTGCCCTAACCAGCTGTAGACACACAATAAAAGGTTATAACCACCCAAATATTTTGATTAGTGGTCAACAAATGTTACATTTTAAAAGTCGTGAAAAACAGCAACAAATTAGTTTTTTTGCATCGCGATGTACATACAAGTAAAATTGATTATTAAAAAGCGAAACAACTTGAATTTGAGCTCAAACTTTTTTTCAAATGAAACACATGCATGGATGAATCATTCTCAGTAACATGCATTTCAAAAATGAATTTTCATTTCATGCCGACTTTCTTAAACTGTTATTCTGGGTCCTAAATTATGATTATAGTCTTTTAAAGTGTCAATATTTATCATTACTAGCTTTAAGCCCAACCCTAAAGTCCTGCATTATTTTAGCCTCATAACTCTTAAGTTTCAAATTGATAATTTTAATAGCTATCTGAGTAAGCTATGATACTATCACTCAGTTTGGTGTGCCTTGTATGAAATCACACATTATAATTTTAATAACCCGTAACATTCATCTCTCAAAATATGTTTGATGTCAACCCTTCTAAATGTTTTGGGGTTGAATATTAAAGGAATTTAAGATCAATGCAAAAACAGTCTTATCTAGCAAATATCATTGTCAAACACATTATTTACAGTTAGTTTTCTCGTGCCAAGAACACTATTTCTTCCCAGAAAAAGACTGAACTTTTGAACTTGACAAGGCAATGTGTACACATTATGAAGTATTGATAAAAGACTTCATGAGAAATGTACCTCGTGGTCATTTTTTAATGTACGTTCCCCAAATGAAGTCACAAAGATCACACACCAGGATTTTTAAAAGGGGAAATGTCACAACAAAACAGGGGTGTGTGCCAGGAAAAAAAGTACACTGTAAAAAAGTTGTAAATAAAACAAAAATGATTGGAGTATGTTTTACAAGAAAATGCTATTTCAGATTTTGCATTTGTAGTTTTACATTTAATTCAATGTGTTACTTGCCATTTCTTGCCGTGTTGTTCGTGCGTTTATTATGTCGCGTCTGAATTATTGAAACTTCTTGTTTGGATGTTCATAT